TAGTTAAGTAGTTTGGCATAGGTGAGAAGGATTTCCAAAAGGGATTTTTTTTCCCCAGAAACTTAATAGTATATCTCTTCTTGCATCTTCGAAGTCTTCAGTGAAAATATCAAATGCCACTTAGCTACTCACAGAGCCATCAATAACTCACTCAGTGTACCTCCTGAGGTTGGATCTGATTTGTTCACAGCGAAACCTTTGCTTTCCACTGACTGTACCTAAAATCTTCAAAAAGGCACTTTTCTGGAACTCCATACAGGTACTTTTCAAAGAGAGCAATAAAAAGAACTCAATAAAAATATTTTCTCCTAAAGGCCATTCTCAAATATATACTTCATATTCTATTTACCAGCTGGTACAAAGTATGATTGAATACTTGGCATACGAAGCAATCACCCAGTGTGATGATTTTGTGGTAATCTGCTGTTCATTTTCTTTTTCTGGAAAATACTAAAGTACAGAAAATGGCATCATCAATCAAAAACTCTTAAGTGAAGGAGAGGCGGTTGGAAAGGATTATATGCACCTTAAAATCCATAGGCCCAAATGTATGTGATATGGGTCCCTATAGAGAAGGCAAGAAATTCTTTCTCAAGTTTGTTATGAACAGGGAAAAGGTTGATCAGTTGTCCAGTGGCTTATTATTCCCGTGCACAGGGCAGTGTTTTCTGTTGGTCACAGAGAGGCCTAAGTCCACACGGTAGCAGTATTTGTATTAGCATTAGTGAGGATAAACAAGACCAGTTACTTCAACCTAAACCGAAGTAGTCTTACCACACAACCAAGAAAACTCTGGCCAGTGCCCCAGAACAAGCCACATAGGCAAACCCTTAAGAAAAAAATAATCAAGAGAAAGATTTCTTTCTGTGAGAACAAATTATTTTCCAAGAGCAGGTTTAACCTACTGAATGTCGTTAACCTTCTTTTTTCAAGTCTTTTTTTCCAGAACAAAACAAAACCGTCCTATGTTGTTATTGTGTAGGGCACCCTCTTCAAGAGACAGCAGTAAATCAACACTTCTCAGCATAGAAAAGTTTACACTTATATTGTTGCCCTTAGTCTCCACAGCTTGAAAGCTTCTTGCCATCCATCGCCTTGTTAAATTCTCAGAGTGCATGCCTGTGAGTCATGTCCATATTTTCTGCCATAACGCCTTTGAGGGCACCCTGTTCCTTTTCTTGTTTTGATGTCAAATTTCTCTGCTCCTGGGTTATGCCTGCAGGTGACCCATGCTTTCTCTACAGTCCAGTTTCAAACACAGCTGCTGACGTCTGAATCTGGACAGGCTACCTGTGTAAACAATTAGGGTTATGCTTTATCACACTGTGTGTGTATCTGGGGGAGATATCTGTGGACACACTGAGCTTGGAAGTGGAGCCGGGGTGGTCTGTGGTGTGTCTCTAAAGAGGAATGTCTTAAGGTGTAGGCCTACAATTTTCCAAGCAGCCTTATTGTGCAGTGTAAAGGAGTCATTATAATTACTTTCTTGTAAGTAAGCAAAAGTACTCAGAGGCTGTCCAAGGTCAGATGGTATGTGTATCCAGTTAGCCAGACCTGAAATGAAAGTTTCCAATAGAGAGAACACAGAACTATTGTTTGTCCGTGGTGTCCCTAGATGTGGACCCTCAGTCCTCTCTCTCCTGGTATCAAATCATCTTTTGTTGTTGTTGTTGTTGTTAAAAGGAATGCATTTGCTATGGAAGGAGCTCCCCCCAATATAAAAGGGCTAGCCACAGAGAAAGAAATAAAGTCTCAGCTCAGACCATTTAGAGCAACTGAATATGCACAATTAACAAAAACCTTACTGCTTTTTGCTGCTTATTTTTCCTTTTCTTGATCTTCACAGTTTAGCAAGGTAAGAATGAGTCAGGAGTAAATGAAAAAACACTCACGAGGAGGACAGGACGAGGAAGGCCATTAGATCATAGATGATCCCCTAGAAGGGACTTTAGGGTTTCTGGATGATTCTTTGTCTCCAGGGGAAGATTTCATTGCATTCTAGGGTCTTTATGTTGTCTAGGGCTTAAGGTAGGTTTGTAGCCGATATTCTCAGTGAAGATGAGGCGTCATTCAGGATGCCCAGCTAGTGACAGGTGTAGACCCAGAACCAGAGACATCCATTAGCTTGCTCGCTCACTCATGTAATCATGCTGTGACCCTGCTTTATATCCTCCTGTGACTGGTTTCATGGGGCCCTTCCCAGAAAATTCAGATGCTAAGGCTACTCAGCCTTAGCATCAGCCCCTGCCCTTCCTGGTATCTAGCACTCCTTCAATGGGCCTCAGTCTGGCCCTCCTTCTGTTCCTCAAGCCTGACAAATACTTTCCCTCCTCATGACCTTTCTAGTGTCTGTTCCTGCCTGGAGCGGCCTTCTGTAAAACCAGCTAATGGCTGGTTTCTCCTCATCATCAAGAAATCCGTCTCTATACAGATACACTGAGAAAACCCCAACAGAATATATTTTGCCACGGAATCCTGGTTTTCGTTACAGAGCTTAGAACACTCATTCTGAGTTTTGTCTTCTCTTCCTTAGGTTTTATTAAACACTTTCTGAAGTGTATGCTTGGTGGGAGCAGAAAGGAATTTGCATGTTACTGCCCTCTGAGAAGCTCCTAGGACAGTGCCTGGCGGATAGCAGACACCTAATAAATAATTACTAAGCTAAATGTTTAGACATTAAAAGTACATTCAAAAGACAAAAAAGAAATAAGTCATTTTTTTTTAGAAATATTCCTGGTGGCTTCAGGAACAAGATTTTTCTGCTCAGTCATATATCCATTAAATTTCACTTAGCAGCTGGCAGATTTCTGGAGATTCAGGTCACCTGATTTCCAAAAATAGCCATCTACTATGATTCCAGATTATTCCCTTGGGAAGTGACTACTATTATTTGATGGAATAAACTCCTTTCTACCTGGAGGCCTGCCATATCATTTGTGGTATCTCATTTCACTCTCAGATACAGCTTAGATGATAAAATATCTGATGTCCGTCATATCTCTAGAGAGAAGAGTCATAGGTTAAAAACAGGAGGTAAACAAAGAAAGGACTATGCCCATTTTCTGTCAGTAAATTGACTAATGAATCCAGGATTCACCCAGATATGAGTCTTGGTTCTGGGCAAGCAAGTATGAGCTACAGAGAAATACCAAGCAAAATTTATTGGTGCTTCCTTACAAATGCCATTGCCATCGGATATCCTATTTTAAAGAGGATGAAATAAAGACTTACACACATGAAATAATCACTCCAATGTTACTTGGTCAGAAGATGGGAAGCTTGGAGCCTAAATACATCCCTTTTTGAGTGCATATTCCCATTGCTTCTCAACCAAACAAATAACTTGATGGATGTTTCCTGCCCCTAGTTAGGTTAGGGAAATGCTAGGGTAAACTATGTTCAGTTTGTGTGGCACACTTGCTCCTCCGTAGCGTCACAGTGCATCGTAAGTCTTCAGAAGACACGGGCAGTGCTTTCCTTGTGAGCTGTCTGAAGTAGAGAGTAAAGCTCTTCCAAGCAGATTTTGGAAAAGGCAGCCATACAGACTTTGGCCAGCCCTCCCCCTCCCCCCCTTCCATGGTCAGCCTGAAATAAACAGACCTACCCACAAAGATAGAGTCAGGGCTGTCCTTTAGGAGAAGGCTCTAAAGTTCTCAGCTCTGAAAGAAGTAAGCTAGCATTGCGGATCTCCTGAAACCACCATCCTAGCAATTCACTACTTATTCAGTCACCATGCTTTCCATAAAAAGTTTTGTGTGTGTGTGTGTACATACATATATGTATGTGTTTTTATGTGTGGAAACCAGAAGTTGACAGTAGTTATCTTCCTCAATTTGTGTCGGCATTATTTTCAGTCATGGTCTCTCCCTGAATCTTCAGCTCCACAATCTGGCTGGCATGGCTGGCTAGCTAGCCCCCAGGGATCCTCTGAGTCTGTTTCCTCAGTTCTGGGATAACAGGAGTACCCCCATGCGCAGTTCCTACATGGGTGCTGGGAATAAAACTCAAGTCATGTTTTCAGAGCAAGCACTGAACTATCATCTTCCCAGACACGTTCACCTTCATACAAATAATAACTGAAGCCTCCTGGCTATTGGAGTTAGAGCAATGAAGACACTGTTCCCAGAAAACAAGAGAACAAATGTCATCTTTGTTTTTGTCCCTCTCAGGGAGGGAGTAATGATTGGGGTACGGATGTGAAGGAGGGGAGTCCCTGTGTTTTCAACCATGGGCATGTATGCTTAATGACTTTTCAGTCCAGTGCAGAACGTCTTGATTCAAGGGCAGTGTGGAGGCTTCAGCTGAAGCTGAAGCGCAGTTAGACCCCTGGTTTCAGTGTCCTCATCGCGAGAGTGACCAAGTTTCTAACACCTTTTGTCACCTCCCATTTCTCTTCCCCCTTCTCTACCTCTCTCATTCATTGTATGTACTCGCCAAAGCCTTCTGCCTCCGCTGGAATGGCTGAAACTGACAAGTTTCAAAAGCCAGTCGTCTGTAAAGATCAAGGAAAACCATTTCTGGTCTTTGAAATATTCGTTTAGCGAATGTTCCACCATCTATGTTATTATGTACCTGACACAACCTTTAAAAAAATTATTATTTTGTGTGTTTTTTTGTACAACCGCCTAGTCTTTTCCCATCTAAGATTTACTTCTGTTTTATAATTTGAGTGGGTGGCGTTTTTTTTTTTTTTCCCCAAACGACCACGAGGCTTCTGGAGACGCACCCCTTCGAAAGCAATTTGAAAGGAATCCCAGTGCAATTCCATGTGCACAGATATTCGCTTACCCTGGTCCTGAACAGTCTGTTCATCTGCAAATCCTGCCTGGCACCTTCAGTTTATGCCAGAACCTGGGTCTGAGAGCCATCCTGCACGCTACCCTAGAGGGCGCGCTGCCTACACTTTCCGCCAACGAGGCGGCCGCGCTGGCTCCCAGGCTCCATAAAAGGGGAGGAGGCGGATCAGTTTCCTTCTCTCATTGAGAAAGCGGAGGGGATTGGAAGGCTGGGCGTATAAAGCCGCGCAGAGAGCGTGAAACAAAGCAGACCGATCGGAATTGGACTTGGGAGGAGAGGCGCGGAGAGGCGGAAAACTTGTTGGAGGGGAGAGTAAAGAGCCGCTGCCTCTCCTCCTCCACCGCGCTGCGCTTAAGGGGTTCCCACCGGCCTTGCGATTTATTTTTATATCGGCTTTTTATATAGAGAAGTATATATATATATATTTTTTTTTTTCTTCTAAAGAGAAAATTCCTGTTCCAAGAGAAAATAAGGCAACATCAATGAAGGAGAGAAGAGCCAGCCAGAAATTATCCAGTAAATCTATCATGGATCCTAATCAGAACGTGAAATGCAAGATAGTAGTGGTGGGCGACAGCCAGTGTGGGAAAACCGCGCTGCTCCACGTCTTCGCGAAGGACTGCTTCCCCGAAGTGAGTGTGACCCGCCGCACGGCTTTCAGGGGAGCGGCCAGTGGGGTCCCCCAGCCTGGAAGAGAGCGCCTGCTCGCTTCTCCGGCTGCCCTGACCTTCCTCTCCAAAGTCTGTTCTCACGCCCAGCCTGTCTCCACCGCCACACTGCGGGGAAGGGAAAGTGTCCTGGAAGCCTCCGGGCTGGGACGCGCCGGCACCCTGGGCTCTTGGCCCCCGAAACTTGCTGGTTTCAGTGTGGGGGGCCGGGTGGGCTCTCGGGAGGGGGACGCGAGGTTGCTGTGTAGGGAGTGTGAGGTTGTTGTTGTTTTAACCGGGGGGGGGGGGGGGCGGCAGGGGGCTTGGGTGTTTCTCAAGAAGAGTTCGCTGAGTGTCGCGTTTTTAACGATCTCTCTGCCACCTTTCCTTCCTCCCTCCGTCCCTTTCGTTCGTCCAGAATTACGTCCCCACGGTTTTCGAGAATTACACTGCCAGTTTTGAAATCGACACACAAAGAATAGAGTTGAGCCTGTGGGACACTTCAGGTAAGACTCCGCACACCGCGTGGCGGTGGTCTGGCCTGGTGCGCCCCGGGCCTTGGGATCTGGTACCCTGTCCTCCAACGTGGCCCCTTGGGGGGACTTCCAGGTCCCGAGCCCCGGGAAGATCCCGGGCAGGGGCGGCAATGGGGGTGACCGTGGTCGTGGGGAAAGGAGGACGCTGTGTGTTCAGGGGTGACCCCTGCTTGGAGGTGGCCGCGTGGCCTTGTGTTATCGGTCCTTGGGGCCGGGCCGGAGCGGGCCGCTGGGGTGGCTCAGTGCTGGAGCAGGCGGAGCAGCGTGGAGCCCTCCCTCTCGCAGAAGACGACCCTGGTGGGTGTCACCGGCCATCTGGTAGCGGGGCAGGGGCGCAGGCTGAGCTGGGAGAAGATCCCCGAAGCCACCCGGTCGCGTGTGGGCTGGGGGAAAGAGGGATGAATGGCCGCAGCCGGCGCCCGTGACGCCTACTGTCAGGAATGCGCTGGTGGTGCGGGCAGCGGCCACCGCGGGGCCTCCGCCCCCGTAGCCTCCCTGCCACGGCGCAGAGCGGCTTCTGCGCCCGCCAGGGGAACAGTCCTTGCCAGCTCTCCGAACATGTCACTCCCCACCCCATTGCTTCGGCCTTGCCCGCCTGCAGGGCCGCAGGCAGCACCGTTCGCCTTTGACCTTCCTGTCTACTTGAATTATTGGCGTCGTGGTGGGTTCTGTCCAAAGGTCTAGGGTTCAAGGTCGGGTTGTTGCCTTCCCATACGCCCACCCACCTACGTGGCCCAGGGTAGTGGGAAGGGTGGATCTTCGCGGGGGTGCGGGGAGGCTGGAGCCTCCGGCCGAGTTCGAGCCAGGGACAGCGAGGACAGTGCACCCCCCTGATACCCAAGCTCCAGCAAGCCAGGGCAGAGACGCCCCGGGAGAGCGTCTGCAGTTTGTAAAGATCAAACCTTCTCCCGAGGAGCATAAGCTATCAGGCAGGGAGGGGAAAGGCCGGTACCCGGGGGGAACTGGGCTGCCAGACAGATTCGGGCGAAACTGGCTAGGAGGAGCGCACAAGCGCCAACACGCAGGGTTGCTGTCAGGCGGGTGGCCCGAGGTGGAGCTGCTCTCAGCTGGGAGGGGCCTCGTGGAGCTCCAGCGAGCTTCCCACACCCTGGGCTGGAACCTCTGAGGGACCCGGGGGTGAGACAGTGAGGGGAAGGGGCCAGAGTCACAAGGACTCCCGAGGCAGCCCCCGGCACAAAGGCTAGAGGGAAGGCTAGAGGGAAGTCTCGCACCGGCGCCTCTCACAGTCGGGGCCAGATGCTCAGACTGCTGCAGCGGGAAGGACAGACCTAGTTTACCCCTGGAGAGTCAGGCTCTTCCTTCAGCTGTGACAAGGGCGTTTAGTGTTTTTGTTGCTGTTGTTGTTGGAATTGCAGACACGGGCTTGATACTACAGAGGAAGTGTTGACGGAATTCTAGTGGATTAGTACTAGTTTCTATCCTCAGAATTATTACACAGCCCAGTATTTTATTAGGCTCCTGTTCTCTCAGGCAGATCGTGGTAATTGTTTTGCCTAGTGGGCAGGCCAGCTGGTGTGGTACCAATAATTAGCACCAGCACTCGCTCTCTCCCACCCAGCCCTGTTTGGACTTATACTCGATAAGAATTAGCAAGGCGTGGAGTGGAATAGTGGGTCTGATGCGGACTTTGATACAAAGCTGTGTTTCGCTCTCAGCTCCTGGTTACCAGGGATTTCTGTGTGCAAATCTTCTACCTCCCTGGGTCTCATTTTCATCATCTGTAAAAAGAGGGCAGACGCGGGGCTGGATAATGTGCAAGATCTCTCCCAGCTATGCTTCTTGGCTTGAGTGTCCTGGACAGACAGATCTTTTTGTTTCCCAGGATGCTGGTTGGCTTCAGCTCCTAGTCTCAGTGGATCTGGCATCCCATGCTGAAGTTCTCACAGCCTGCAAGCCACGCCAGATTCTGGGCTGAGCCAGGCTTCTCAGTGGATTTAGGAATGAGACTATTTGGATAAGGAGGGGGATGGGTGGACTCCTAGGAATGCTGGGTTATACATCCGTGTCTCAAGCTCTAAGAATCTCAAGACCACCAACGGAGATTTTAGATTAGGTGCCCAAAGGCCAAACTAGTCACCTCCTTCCTTTTAAGAGAGAAAAGGCACAAGCTTTTCAAGGGCTGGCAAATGTGTGTGAACGGTTTATAGAGGGAAGTCAGTGCAAATATCACTTCAAATATTTTCAAGCCTTACTCACAGCTATATAGTTCACAGTCTCTACACATATAGCAGAAAGCATACAGTAGTCACCCAGTAAAACCCAAGGAATAAGCAAATTAATGATCATATGCATAGTTGCCAAGGAGATGAGGTTCCTGGCATTAATTAGCACTGAATTACCTGTGCCTTAAGATTGGCAACTTCATAAATATTGCTTTTCATCAAATTAAAGTTAATCACTTAAAATGAAATCAGTAGTAAAATAATGACATGTGTTTATATTTAGTAAAAGAAACCACTATGCATATGTCTGTAAGGTACAAAGGTGTAAAAGCTGGTCGCAGCAGTATTACATTGCAAAATTATCAAGTTATGAAGCCTGGCTTAAAATTTAGATTTAGACAAATGGAAAAAGAGATATAAGGAATTGTTTGGAATTCTACTATGCTTGTGAAGTGAGATGTTTAGTTAATTAGACACAATTATGGAGCGTTGCTTAAATTCTAGGAACAGGATGTTTCTACCAAAAGTGCCTTGCAGATCAGGATTAGCATGTTTCCAGCAAGAAGTTCATGCTTCCCAGTAACTTTACCATCTCTCCTATTCACTTGCTTTTCCTGACAAGTTCCTGAAGATTTTCTTTTTCTTTCTTTCTTTCTTTTTCTTTTCTTTCTTTCTTTCTTTCTTTCTTTCTTTCTTTCTTTCTTCCTTCCTTCCTTCCTTCCTTCTTTCCTTTCTTTCTTCCTTTTTTCCTTCCTTCCTTCCTTCCTTCCTTCCTTCCTTCCTTCCTTCCTTCCTTCCTTTCTTTCTTTCTTTCTTTCTTTCTTTCTTTCTTTCTTTCTTTCTTTCGTTTACTATCACTTCACATTTTCTCTGTCTACAAGGACATTGTTTTGTTGAGGTGTGAAAATAAGTGCATATACTTTATGCCTCTTCATACATTTGGTTTCCCCTGGCTGCTATCAGCTTATCTCTGGAGAGAAGATACAATCCAAGTTTATGAGCTCTAAATGTCGTTTTTTATTGTCTTCCAAGACTATGTAAGAGAGATTTATTTTGGAAAAATTGGGTGGCGAGAGAGTATAAACTGTGTCCTTTGGTGGTATTTCTATTGTGTTCAACCTTCCAGCAGAGAAACAAACATTAGGAAACAGAGGCAATTCTTGTATGGGCTTTCCATTGTGAACCACGTCTCCTTAGTGGTTTGTTTCTGCCTGAAGCAGTCATACGATCATACATAAGCAAAAACTGCTAATTTAAATGTGGGAAAGAATATAAAGCAGAAGTAGAGGAAAGGAAACCATTCATTTCTCTTTTGGGAGCACAGGCAGTTAATATTTCCTTCCTTTCTATTCCTCTTCCTTGTTTTCTGTGTCTACTGTAAGCAGACATAGGACTGGGGACTAGCAAAATGCCAACTTATGGTGCACGTAAGTCTTGAACTCAAATGGCCTCTTCCACCTGGTTGCATACTCGTTTCCCTATAAGCTTTTGTAGAGCTCTATGCAGTCCTTAGGTGGTGAGCAATCTTTCTATCTATCCCCCAAGCACCCACCAGTCACAGCAGCCACAGTGGCACAATACCAATCGACTATTATGGCTACTTAAAAGACTCCATAGGTAACAAGATCTTATTATAAGTGTCATGAAAAATCTTCTAAAATGAGAGCTTTCTAAAGGTAGTCTTGGATCCATGTCTTCATTTACTATGAAATAGTTTCTTTTCATTATAAAATGAGTTTATTCATAGTTGCAGAAATGTGCTGGAAAGTATTCAAATTTTCTCAATGAGTTTTCAGAGAGAGAGGGAGAGAGAGAATAGATTTCGTACTTAAAAGAGATACGTGAAAACAAAATAGTTCTAATACCTTGTGCTTCAAAATCTGCTACACTTGCCAAACATAGAAGCAGTTTGTAAGATGAAGCCAAAAGCCTCCTAATAATAGAGAGTTAGTCATTTAAAGATCACCATATCTTTTCCTTGGAACCTGATTGCAGTGTAATTTCAGCATACATGATTTAAGGAGTAATAGTCATTCATGCCAGCTTTTAACCAGGGCAAGTTAATGCACATTTTATTTAAGGCATACTATTGGTTTTAAATATTCCATTTAACTACTGATTCCCAGTTAATAATTGTTTTACTTCCCTGTGAAATCTCTTTTGGATCTTAACACCCTATGAACCTCATTCAGGACCTGAGTGCTAAAGTTAGCATTTGCTGTATTTGTTTCTAGTATTATTAACTAAAACAACATAATCTCTACGTTTTACATTTAAAGCAACAGATAAGAAAGATAAACCTTAGTTACTTTAAGGAAAGTCTTCAGAATCAACATATATCTAACTACAATGGTATATTTCAGATTTTACATCAAGTCTGAGGGCCAGTCTGTGTGACAAGCACCCTAATGAAATATTTCTTGGCAGAAATGGAAACAGTTAAATAGTTTTGGAGCTCCATCTATATATTAATCAAGAAAAGGTAGATTACTGATCCCCTTTCTGTGATTTGAACTATAAACGTACACATCTGGACAGGGCATGAAGATGTGGTTGTTAACTGCCAGAGTACACCATCTGCAAGTTGGTGCTCTGACAGGGAGGGGCGACCCTGAGCTGGACAGGAATAGGTGCTGTCCTCAAGTTACTTACATTCTAGTCAGAGTAAGAAGACAAACAAAAATGTTGCAAATATAGGAGAAAATCTGAAATACCCATGCTTCTTCCAGGGTAATATAAAAAAACACATTGGGAGCCCTGTATAAGTATGGCGTGCAACTAGGAGGA